ATGAAATAAAGACGAGTATTGAGTGGGAACAATTGTTTCTTCAATAGAACATATGTTTAATTGTATTTTCTTTGCATTTATCTGATAGAACATTTGCGTTGTGAAGAAAAAATGGCTTGAATCTGACAAATCTAATCAAATCTTTAAAAATATTATCTCTAAACAACTAATGACCAGTTGCAAAAGATTGCCTCGATCTATCAGGTGGTCTTTTTAGTACAATCGTTTCTCTGAGACAAACATTCTGTGGCACATTTGTAGATTCATTAAACACAAATAGATGAACAGTTTAATCCGTTTCCATTTCGCCTGGTCCTCGAGTTTGACAATGTGTTGGCAAACAATTCATCACCATTTGAGATGACATCGTCAGTGCTTGCCACTTCACAAACACTGATGAGGTCATCATCTCGGCTGATGTTCAAGCGTTTGCAAACAAATAGTCAAGCTTGGCAAAATGGGAGAAGTAACATTCAGTTCATCCGAGCTACAAGATCCAATTTTTAGTACTTTGTCAACAATTTGATTTGTGCTTTAGAACGTAAGGAGGAATAAAAACGAAGACTGAGTGATACCTTGATTAAATTTCATTTATCCACCTTCTCCAATTCTCATTAGCCAATGGGAAGAGTTTGGACTTTGACAAACACACCCAGATCACGTGAATTCGACTGCAGTTATTCAAATTCGCCCGAAATGTCACTGTGCACTGACGTTCTCTCGAAGAACGATGTTGTCGAGGTGAAGACAGAAACACTTGTCATGCATGGAACGTTTCAAAAATCCAACCTGCACTTTACACTGTCGTCGAATAAAGTGCATTTACTCCGGATAAAGCCTGTATTCCTGGATCGACTGAAATTTTTAGGTATATTTGTTTGGCAATAAAGTCAACAAACTGCGGGCGTTTCTTTCTAGTACACAGTGACAGCTGTACTTCATCAGCTCTCACCAAATAATGGTTTCTGATCGATATGTCTCAAACTGTTTTGATATTGAAGTATGGCTTACGACGAACGCTGTCTGGTAGGCATGAGAGGTGATAGTTGAGAAATAGCCTCAGTTATCGACAAGTGTTCAATCGAAGTGAATATTAGTGATTGGGCGGTTTGGTTTGTAAGTTCCTCGGGGTCTGTTGCTGACTGTGAACAAGATTGGAATGATTGCACAATAATTCGTGAATGTTGTGCCTATCTTTCTTTTGACAGATGCACGAAAACTTATTCACAAGTATACGGGAAACACGCATCATCAAAGTCAGTTTCAGAATAAATACTGTTTTGCTCTCACAGGTTGACATAAATATTGGTCGTTTTCAACACCTATCTATTCCCGACATGGTGCGAATCTTGGAGTTAGCAGGGTTTTAATCTTTTTAACAAACATCAGTCCAGTGCTGATCAAGCGGTTCAGGCTAGAAATAATGTTGTTTTCCTTAGTCTCTCCAAGCTTGTCTGATTGTTTCTGGGAGCTTTCAAGGTACCTATTTGTAGGTTACCGTAAATCTAATAGAGACCAAAACCGTCACTTCCTGAAAATTCCTAAGTCCACCACAATTTGAGTAGAACTTGCAGTATTTTCTTTTGCGAGCCGTGAATACTATGCTCGTTTCTCACCGTGATGTCCAAAAAAACACCATAAGGAATTGCTGTTCAGCGCTTTCCAAGGTGCGCTCCATCGGGAAAACTTAGGTAAATTATTGGTGCTACTATTTAAATTGAATATTCTACTCAATTCTTTTTATTTGTTTGATAGTGATTGTTCAGTTATGTCAACTGTATCTGTTAGCATTGTGGTTAATACTGGGTACCGACCTACTTTATTTTTAAAATGGTTATACTAACACCCAATGTCATTTTGACGACATTTTGAGGCGTGTGTACTTCCTCATCTATGAACCTTCATTTGGCAATATTTCTCACTTCACGGAACCTATTTATTGCGATGTGTTACACTGATACAAGAAGTGATCGCCCAATAAAAAGCACATTGAAATATGATTTGAATGAACTTTGCGGTCAGATGTACACGGTTGGTGAAATCTAACCAACAGGACTCAAGAATCGATTGTTTTATTCGCTGTAGATGCAATCTGGAAGTGCGTTGTCATCATCGATGTATCCAGAAACGACTTTTGAGACACCTTGGTCATCACAGTACGGTTTTGGGACATAATTGAGGTCCAGCTGTGTTTAGAGAAAATCCCGTTAAGAATCACATTCGGACACGTTCGGTTTCATAATCTCAACAAATATTTGGTTTTACACTCTTTATTCTGTCCCTATTCTCCTTATTATGAAATATGTTCTAATTGATTAATGGTAGACGAAACAGTCCCCCGGCTCCCCTGTGTTTTTTTAACACTCAAGCAGGAGCTCTCATTTGACTCACAGGAAGAGAGCCCAGCAAATATGTGCATGCGTGTTTACTGTTTAGAAGTACGCAAGCAATCCAGAACACAAACAGGATGGTCATTTAATGTGGCCCGTCGGATTGCTTCCACCGGAACCAGCATTATCCAATCAGCCACGTTATCACACAATCAAACAAGTGGGAATGATTGTGAATGTACCAGACAGACGTTTGAGGTTGAGATGGAAAGAACCACCTTATATCTGGCTAGACCGGAAATCTATCGGGGTTCGCATTTCTCTGTGCAAGTGATAGGATTTATCCATCCAAGAATCCTCCCAAAATTTGTTCGCAGAAAAGGATATAACAGTCTAAGGCCTTCATGTTTGTAGGTGTATAAGAGATATGGCTTTTCGAGGTGGCTGATCCAAAGTTAGATTAGACTGGTATGAGTGTGCTTCTGCCGACTAGAAGATATAGGCGATAATTGTCCCTATCCTAACAGGACATGTCTATTGTGATGCAACAGTGTCTACAAAATCCATCACAGTGATGGTTTAATCAATAAATGGACTGTTATACGCGAAAATGTAATGGGAATAATCACAAAGTGTACGAACTCTAAATTTAATTATCGATTTATTCCCAAAGCAATCAATCTAGATATTAGTCCGTTTTGTGAGTCTGACGGTGTGTAGAAATAATAAAGGTGAACTTTTTCGTGATCAGTATCATCTAGTTTCATCTCTACCGATTTTAGAAAAAGGATCAAGTCATTGGCATCTCAGTTAATTGTATAGAAAGCACTTACAGATACATGCCCGTCACCATATGACACTTTATGGAATTTCTCACAAATTTAAATTCCACGAATGGGAAATTAATCTATTGTTTACTTATATCAGCAGATTGTATTTTTTCGAAAAGTTATGTTTTCTGTTTGTTCAGAAAAACGTGCCTTATTCCGATATCAACTTATATTTATAAGGTCTGAATCGAATCGAATCAATCATTTTTTTATTGTGATTACTAACTGATTTAGTACGTTTACGAGATACTTATCAAGATTCTTAGTTTTGTGATTATATATTAATGTTTTTTGTTATTCAAACTCCGCTGTGAAATAAAGTCTCGAATACTGTTCCATATGCACAACATTTTTAGATTTGTGATAAATGAAGACAATCGAATACTGCTTTTAGAACGAAACCATAATCCAGTTTGTTTGATGAGCATGTATACCCCTGTTTGCTAAATGTGCTACAAACGAATCCATTTACGTATTGAATTTTGTCCTATACAGGGTAAATAAAACATCAACGGAAAAAGCTAATAAGCTTTTTACAGCTGTTTTGACCTGTTTGGATCTCATCATCAGCGCAAATCCTCCGACCCAACTAGTGATCGAATCCGGGGCCTTACAAGTAGAGTGTAAACATACTACTCACCCGACCAACGAGCAACAGGTCAGACCGCTCCTGTTTCCTTATACACGATATAACGCAGTTAGAAAGATGGAATCACATTGCTGCTGAGATCTAATCAGTACTTCGCAGATTTTCAGTCCACTATTCATTTACTCTGCACACGACAAAATTCATCATACAAGCGAATCAAATCCTCCAATGCTACCAAGCAATAAAATGAAATCAGACTAATAGTGCTCATGATCCTAATAGCAGTTTCATAAACATGAGAAAATCACCCTTCTGGAAACTCCAGGTTTATCTGTTCATCCACGTCCACCCAATCTTTTTCGGGGGTAATAACACTTCGTGGTCAGAAAACTTCAACGCCATATGAGTCCACCTTTAGGTGATGGCCGATGAAGATAGGACGGTTTTTGGTTTGTCGGTTTCTGTACGAATGCTGTCGAACACTTACCAACATGTCTAGGGCTGAGTATGAACCCCCATGTATAGGTTTGGAAATAATCGACGCAGTTAGGGAAATTTCATCAAAATTCTGGGTTGTAAGTTCCGAATGATAGTTTTATATGCGTTTTAAAATGATCTAACAGCTAGTAAGCAAAAAGCTTAGATTCCGGTGAAAGACCGGCGCAAAAATATGAATGCGTACACACTTGCTTCAAGATTAATTTCTCGTTCCAATCAGCCCTCCGGGGTTACATTAACTCAAAATTTATCCCAATATACTGGTTTCTATCATTATTGGTGTAGTTAATGCGATTTAGCCAAACAAACTTTGCTCACGAGAATTCGTTGGTAGCACACCACTATTTGCTATCAGCAAATGGATCGGGTTCAACGACTGGAGTCAATCACCCGTTACATCATACTTATGCAGCTGATGGAAACTGAGAAATGAATACATACTTGATAGCGAATGAATTGGAATAAATCAACAGATGACGAAAAATCTCTGTTTACACGAAAAAACAAGCACATTCACCCAGAGCGATTCTACCTTATACCATTCTGATGACCACTTACTAAGTACAGTATTATTTCCGTCAAAGCCTATTCTTAATAAAAATCCATTCTCAGATGGATTTCGACAAACAGTTCGTTTCCTTCATTATAAATATACATCCGTAATTTTTCAGCGTTTTGATCAAATGCTTTCCAGTTTTCCACTCATGAATCATCATTCCATCACCTGAATAAAAACACTTTACACGGACTTACCTTAGGTTCAAGATGACCGACCATTGACAGAAGTGGCTGGAACTCCTCGACTTCCACCCGACAAACTTCCCCCTTCTGAGCACGCATCTGAATAGGTAGATGGCTGTGCAGTAGCGGAGCTGATCTTCCGCGTACTACAACCAGCCGTTCTCGTTCTATATCGCTGCGTAAAAGATTGTATCCGTTCGTAGTGGTTGCGTCATTTTGCATTTGTTCCGTCCGCGGAAGGCGTACTGGTGTATAGGAATGAAACGCAGAAAACGGAGCAGTCCATCCGTTTATGCACAAGTTCATTAAACACAGAAACCAATACAACGGTTTCATTATGCCCTGTTAGTTATTTTCTTTGGGAGTCAGAACTCAGCTCGGGAACAGCTGAACCAGACTACTACAGAGAGTGCTTTGTGTTTCGTGCCCGGTGTATACTCCTTTGCTGTGATGCAGGCTAGACAGAATCCGGGAACAGTTTTGTGGCAAATGTGACTGACTGGTCTATCGGGCGTTAAGTTCACCGGAACGAATCTGATACACCGTTCCACGTCCTTATTCGAAGTAACCAATCGGAGCCCCGTTTATCAGCGGCCAATCAGAACTAAGGTAAACATACTCGTTCCTCGGCCTAGTCCGACTGAATAAATGGGCGCGTTAAGCCACATGAAAACATGGGAATGGGAAGAGAATGGTTTGGGAGTAAAATTATCTGAGGACTTGGTTCACTGGAATTCACGAACGAGTGCGGAAAAAATAAATTTATGAGCCAGCTTCCCGCAAAGCACAACAAGACGCAAAGACTAAAGGAAGAAGGAAAGATACAATTTGTTCAGAAAATTTGACCATGCTTTGTATCCTGCCCCGTATATTGAAAATTATCAGAACAAAACATAACCCAATACATTGGTCTCCTCCAGTTAACTCATCGGGCACAAGCATACATTCGGTCTTTTTTTACACACAAAGTATTGAATATTGTGCTTGGTGAGATGCACATCGTGATTGTTAAAACAGCTCCAAGGGAAAATCCAACTCCGGTCCCAGTGCAACGGTATTGGTTTATGCTTTTTGTCTTGCTAGCACGGTAGGTATGACAACCCGATTCTGTCATTCATGTCATCCGAAAGTCTCCAGTTACGATTGCATGCAGTCCAGTTCCCAATAGACTGTGGATAACCGACGCCTTATGAATTAGTTCCGTACTGAACACATCGAATTTGATTTTCAGTGAAAAACATTTTGTAAGAACAACGTATTGTTTGCTCTCCTGTAGTGAGACAAACAGCGGTGCATTTTGTGCTCAAGCCCGGTGATCCTCCGGGACAGTTGGGCTACGTGGCACGTAGAGCTTGATTCCGAATAAATCAGAATAAGCACGAAGTAAGTATGACAATGTAAAAGCAATTAATTGCACTGCTATAGAACACCCTGACGTGCACCTACTGCCATCCCGTGAAATGTCGATGGCTTGATATGAAGCCCTCGTTCCCAGATGATGACAAAACCCGGCTCAGTTCAGATTTTACAACCATTACCCTTAACTTTCGCTCGCCGGTTGTTTTTTGCTTTCTTTTGGCCGTCCATTTGGATAAAAGGGCACAATGAAGATTGGAATGCTGATTTAAGGGGAACATGGGGAATTTATATAGACTACGGTTGCAAAAATATGGAGTAGAGTTACGAGCGCAAGAGACGTAAGAGACGTGGCCATATTGCTCAGCGTCCCTAACCACCGGATATTATAACCTCGTGGTTCCCATCCAGAGAGTCTAACGGCACCTATATATCTCCGTGTCCTGATCAGGGTTTTCATACCCTCATGCCAGGTCCAACTAAATTAGGAGCCTTCCTTTGCACGTATGAAATTTACCATCTTCCAAATTCAACTTGGAACAGGATTTGGAAAATACAGTTGACCGAATATTTTAGACTTGGCCGTATCTTGACTTGAAACTATTACCTTTGTTGAATTTAGATAGACATGAGCACTTGTATTCCAGTTTGCTTCTTTTAGGATTATTTGGTTCTCCACATCTTACCACGTTTGGTATATTGTTGTTGAGTTCTCAACTATCGTGGAGATGAGGTGTCCCCTTTGATTCATTTCAATTAAATTTGTTTTCTTTTCAGATCGACTAAATATGTTATTTCTGGGATAACGTCTTTCTATAAATATTCCTACTAACTCACATTACCTTGTGATTTTTTATATTTTAGGGCTGAACAAGGAAATATTTTCCAAACAGGATATTTCTTGTTGAAATGCAAATTATGATTTACTAGCAATTATGAATTAGGAGAACTCTTTCATCCTTCTGCGTGTTTATACATCTTCCTCAGGGATAGTAGAGCAGCTGACCGCTTGACAATTCTGTAGAGTGAAGACACTGTTTTCTCCAAACAAAGCCTCCCACGAACTCGGTCCTTCCTTTCAGGCTGGATTCATTATTTGTTTTTCAGTGAAACATGTTTATGAGTAGTGGGGTGTAATACGTGTTACCCATTAAAACTGTTGACCCTCCTTTAGACCATATCTTCACATGCAATCTTCAGACAAAATTATTCTTGGTTACATATATTCGTTTCAACCCGTCGTTGAATCAATCAGGACAATATAATGCATCTGCCAGTGGTTCACACACTCTTTTCCCACATTGTATATATCTGAAGTCTGAAAAAAATACTGTGAAAATGATTGCAGTTGTTTTTCTTCAATGGCGGCAGCTGCTGTCTCAAAAAACTTAAATGGTTCTAGTATGTCGAAGCTAAATTCTAGCCTGAAAATTAAGCATATGCAAACATGATTTGCACAAAATGGGAAGCTAAGGTAGACTCCATTAATCTCTTGTCTAAATAGACAAATGTGCACTCATTGTTCCAGCATCAGATCATCGTCACAGTTTGGCTCTATTCACAGTCAGTTGCTCACTGGGACAACTACTGTGAGTGAACAACACAAACAAAAATTGTATTGTATTGTATTGTGATAACTTCTGCAGGCATGAAGCCTACA